TTGATGAATTCGGAGTTTAGTAACAAAATTGTGTTTCTCATCTAAACTTCAAGCAGTAGCTTCCTAATATGTGAATAACTAAACTGTATCTACAATAGACAATCTCTGGCTATAGTTGGATCGGATAATTTTTCCGGATGACCTATTCTAACAATAACATTGCCAAACAGAATTCATTTTAATGCAATTCAGAGTTTAGTAAATAACCCCCTTGCCCACTTTACTCAGTTTTCTTGAAACTTAATTTTTGATACTTTGAAATACAACCTCATCTTCTAATGCATTTATAATATTTGTCTGTGTCAACAATAGACCAGTAGATGAGTGTTTGAAGATATTTGTGAAATATTCACTTGTATTATTGGTATATTTTAAATAGGTTGCCATTAGTTTTTTTTTGTAATAATATTTTTTGTAAACCCAAAGTGTGTAGTTTTATCTATGGCCACTAGAGGTCACTGGTCACCAGCAATCTAGATACAAGAAGTTCCTCCTACCTTCTTCCAGTCTCTTCAATTAGCATTTCCTTAATTAACATCATCAAATGATGATTCTCTGTACAGGCCAACGACAACGCTTGCAAAGACAAAAAAAAACAAAAAAAAACCCAACAAAACAATAAGCTACAAAAGATGGAGATTCACTACATGCAATGTATGTCGGTGGCAAGGTATAGTGCAAACAAATATTATTTGGGGTAAAATAAAATATTGGGATCGAGCTATATTAATTAGCAAAATATACAGGGATGGAGACAATGTATTCATTGATTGTAGATTACAGCAAGTAATCACATTACACAAAAAGGAAATGTGTTATGTATAAGTGTCTCTATAGTATTAACAAATAAAAATACTTTGTTGATGTGTAATTTGAAGGGAATGTCTTATAATTATGTTAAAACAAAGGCAGCTCAATATGAAATGCATTTAACAACTAAAATAGCATGTAGTGTTTTACATCCAGTAGTTTATTACAATTTAGGCCTTTGGTGACTTGTGTTTTATTGTCAGGCCTTTGAAAGATTTGCACTGATCCAACGCCTGACCTGGCTGCTAAGGGGTTAATGTTGAAATGGTTAATAGCTTGAACTCAGTAGACATTAGTTTAGGGATGAGGAAGTGTTCAGTCAGTTGTATAAGGGATGATACCAGGCATACAGTGATGGCTAAACAGTCTGTCTACTGAAATGACTGCAAATTTACATTAACACATGGCCTTGCAATATTACCATTGTTTTTTTGTTTGTTTTTAAAAGTCCTCTTGTTTATCATAGCATTTCTATTGGGATCAGGCTACACCCTGCGTTATTAACCCCGTTTGGGATCAACTACATTGCTTCATATGCCATGATAACAAAGGATTTTCTTCTCCTTGGTCAGGAAGGGGTTAACTTGCATAGAAGGCTCATTAAAACCTGTGTAACAATCATGCACATTAGCAGTGATATATCGCTTTTAGGCTCCCACAAGCTCTTTTATATCGACTGAATTCTATTTTACTAGAGCATTTTATATTTGCCTTTTTTTTTTTTTCAATAAACTGCTACAATTGGTAAAATGTATTAATATGTGTGATATCCAATCTATAGGCAATCAGACACAGTACGGTCGTTTTCCTTAAGTGATTTTTGTTTTTGGCATCATCTATTGACATACCAGTTACTAAATTCTGTTTTTTAGATTATAATTTAAAATGTGTCACGGGTGGTATGGCAGACCTCATAAAGGTGTAACGGGAAAGAAGGGGTTAAAATCTTGCGGCATTGGGATCTGTGGACAAATTTCAATAGGGAAAGGTGAGAGTTGTATATACTGCTAAGGCTAGGCCACAGGGCTAACCAATCCCTTGTAATGGGAGTATAAATTATATCCATCAATTTAGAAATGTATATAGCTTTAATATAAAAACACAATTAAAAGAAATTATTATAATTGTACCAGTCAGTGAAAGCACTATATTTGAATATTTCCATGCTATTGTTTTCTTAATCTTGACTTTTAGAGATTTTTCCCAACTGGAAAATATACCACATTTAAAAACGAATGTGATGTTTTAGTATAAATAGGTTAAAAATGAATAATAACGGTACCATCCTTCAGATATACAGATCACTATATTTCGCCAACATCTTGTACCACCCGAATCTCATTCGCCACCACACTTCGGTATAAAAAAAAAAAAAAAGTTCCTTTTTACTAAACACCTAATGGTGAATTGAAAACTGAAATATAACAGTTAAGCAGATATAACTATTTTTTTATTTAAAAATAAAATAAAAATTTTAACCCCTTAAACTCCGCTATAGCCACAGTTTAGCTGTTTTACTCTAATTATAGCAATGTTGAATTCTGTACAGTTCGGGTTTAGCGAATGAACCTTTTAATTTCATATTTCCCAGAAATTAGCCAACATCTCAAAAATAATCCATCCCATAATGAGTCCTTGTGCACGAGATATTTCTATAGGGAGACTGTGTTCGCTACTTATCACCGAATTTGCACTAATTTCTCGTGGTTCTAATAATCATGGCTAGTTCGGCCGATTGTATTGCTTTCCTCTCGAATAATAAAATGAATGTATTACCTTTGTGACTGAGTCCGTTAGCATTAGAAAACTATTTTAGTCTACAGTAGATTTTTTTTTAAATCTATGCACAATTTTTTGATACCTTGTTAATTTCTTTATTTTATCTTTTTACACAAGACTCAGAGAGAGAGAGAGAAAAATAGATCGTTAATTGCAACTCATTAAAATATTGCTACTCAATCTAACAGCTGTTACAATTAATTAATCGCAGTGAGCTTAATTATTTTATCAATTGATTTTCGAATTCCTTAAAAACACATCAGTCTGTCTAATTTTAAATCAACATTTTCCCTTTTTTTCGTAATTTTTTTCCTTCAATTGTTTTCGCTGAATATTTTCATAACTTGTACCAATTTCATAAAACGATATTTCAATTATTAGCTCGCAATTAAAGTACACAGCTTGCGATCTATAGTAATTTCCCATCTCAAAAATAGCCAGTTATATAGGACTCGTCTCAAACTCTAATTTTATGATTTTGAAATAACCAACTTAAATTGAAAGGTGTGGACAAAAAATGTACAATAACGTAAAGTGATAAATTAAACAAAGCTAGATAAATTAAACATAGATTTATAGTGACTGTTACATTTTTTTTTTTATTATTTTGTTCGATCAAACTACTAGACTTTTAAATGAAAAAAACATTTAAAAAAAACGAATTGTTTATTGAGATAGTTCTGAGCTCACACTATACAGGTGGACTAGTGAATTAGTGCACTTTTCTTAGAGATTTGGTTTTGTTGACTGATGGGAAGTTGATGTAATTAACCTTATTTTACTGGTTAATTTAGATTTATTTATTTATTTATTTCTCTGAAGATTTAGTTAAACAATATTTTCTGGATTAGATTATCAGATTTGAAACCAGGCAACACATGTAACTGTATATGACCTGACTTAGACACATGTTATCCAGAGGTTCTTTTTTAGACCAGCCAGAATTATTACTAAATGAGAATTTAATATTAATCCCATTAATCTGGTAATCCTGTTTTTGGATTGTCAGTAGTGTAGTTTGAATGGCACAAGGTATAATTTTATCATTGGACAGTTTATTGAGACATACATGAAAATGTATTGTTTTAATTCTACTCTAATTGTACTGAATAGCTAAAATATGAAGGGATTGTATCACTATTCAGATTTATAGCATACATTTTACCTAAAAATCACAAACAAAAAGTCAGGTAGGGTATGGACGCTGCTTGCTTTGTGTAGCTATGTTTTTAGCTTTTATTATTTTCTAAACTTGGTAAATAAACTTGGATTCATTATAACGATGCCAAACAAGCATTTCTAATCCTCCCAAGGGCTGAACTATGTGTGTGTGTGTGTGTGTGTGTGTACAGTATGCATAACTATATGAATACACTGAGTATATTTTTTCACATGTGTGTGTGTGTGTGTGTGTGTGTATAATATGAGAATACGTGCATTTGTCAAATTATATGTGTATGTATATGAAATATATATGTATATAGATATGTAGATTAATTTTTATTTTAATTCACATTACATTGTAAACTGTATATTCTAAACTATAGATTTATATATATATATATATATATATATATATATATATTGATATTTTTAACCCTTCTTTTACCCCCTTTATGGAAGCCAAACCCCACACACACACATACTTGGCTAGGAGATAGTAGTTTATATGAGCAGAAGTTGTCAGTGGAACAGGTCACGTGAGGCACGTGAGTGCTAAGGGGACTAATTAACGCGGCATTGCAACGCGTCACATCTAACTCATTACATCATATTTATGTTTTGAGATTTTTTATTTATTTTTTGTCTTTTTTTTGTTACCAGGGAAGGTCAATAATAAATAGACACTGAGACAGTATCCTAATTCAGTTCCCCCATATATACCCATTTTACAGTGAGTGGATCTGTGGAAGCCACACCTTTTCATAAAGATATTGTTTATCTTGTCACATGGGGGCATTCTTCTCTCTCATTTATTTATTTATTTATTTATTTTATTTTTGGGGGAGTGTCAGGTGACTTCCCTAGAATACTGTGCAGGGATCACAGACTGTATAATTAAAAGATAATTACAGTATGGTACTTGATAGCTGTCAGGCAACAGTCATAAAGAAAGCTGCTGGATGTAACAAATAAATATATAAAGATATAAAATCATACTCTGAATTATTATTTTTTTTAGGTTGTTACTGTGTATCGAACTGTTATTTTTTTATATTTTTATTATTTTTATTTATTAAACATAAAAATATATACATATATATATATATCCATCCACAGTGTGTGATTTCTCAGAGACAAGTGATATTTCGTTGTTGACATTACTAAAGGTACTTAAATATCTACCATTGGACAGCGGATGGAGGTGCTGTGTGATGGGAGGTGGAACTGCAGCTTCTTAATCATTAAACTCAAACTGGAGACCAGAAAGTAAATTCTAGCTGCATAAACCAATGCACTGAACTGCTTATTGTCCCCATTTAGAGAGGCTTGCATGAGTAATAAGCCTAACTGTAGCAACAGCTCCTTTCCTTTATCCTATGCCATTCTGGGCAGTTGGAAGTTGGTGCACAGAGAGCCATCTGCCTCTCTCCATCGGTGTGTAATCAACTAAGTCCAGGTTAAGGCGTCTGGGTGAGGTTTTTTTTTTTTTCGTTTTTTTTCCTTGGGATTTTAAACACAGACCTGTCCTTTTCATCCAATGCCTGACAAAGCACTGACTGGTTCTGGAGACCTTCACAAAGCTTGGAGAACATCTGAGGGCCTGCATTCCGGTTGGCATTATTATGGGTAAGTAGATTGGCATGAGCTGAGCCCTTAACCAACATTCATTGTGAACCTCCTTTGGCATCATTTAAAAGTGGCAGTGTCTTCTTTATGATATAACACAGAATTATCCTATAATATATCTATTACCCTATATACAGATATCCATATATGTAAATTTTATGATATCTGAGCCCCAGGCATAAGCACCTCTTATTGGCCAGCAGATAATATTTATTTATACTAGCTGATATCAAAATTGAAGGCTGACACAATTGTTGTTTTATATCTCAAACGAAACAGCACAGATTTTTCAATAGGGGTTTATAGGACAGTTTTATTAGGCAGTTAGTGGATGTGTATTCTTTTCTTTCAAAGATGAAAATCTGGGTTTACTGCAAAGAAACCACAACAAAATGAATGCATTGTCTCGTTCAAACGTTTAAAGGATGGCTTTTGACATTGCTGTAGACAATTTAGCCTGTTGATTAATTATAAATATTTTGTTTATTTATGAGTCAGTGTTGAGATTTCAGTAAAATGCAACCTGGGATAAAACACATACAAACAGGTAAAACAGACACAAACAGTGTGTATGATAAAGCTTTATATGCCTTACAGGTAAACAGGTAAATTAGCTTTTTTTTTTCTTTGTTTGTTTTTTTTAGTTCCAGAGGGGTGTGTCAAGAGTGTCTTACCCTTCTGGCACATGTAGGGTTAATATTACTGATTTGAAATGTTTTACACAATGGGTTGAGTGCATCCCCTTTACATTGTCTTTATGCTATGTGCTTGAGAGGTGCAATATACGCCTTGTTGCTGTTTGATTTGTGATTAAAAGGTATATTCAGGTGCTATTCTCTATAGGAGCGATGTATCTCTGTATATATGTGATATAAAATGACTGATGTATTTTAAACCTCATTCTCCAGTCTGCCTGTGGGCTAAAGGCATTGCAGAGCCCTGTGGCAATCAAAGAGTGTAAATGGTGTTATTAAGTGGTGGCTTTGAACCAAAGTGTGGGATGGGCTGTAACTCTTTGGTGCCAGAATCCAGCTACTGCTTGGAGGGTTTGAGGGGGGCTCATCCCAAAGCTGGTCAAATATGTTACTAATTTCCATTGCAAGGACAGGCAGATTGGGCAGACTCTTGGCTTAGCTAGTGTTTACTAGTGAGACCTTCAGGGCTTCATTAGAGCTTTGGAATCTAGGAGGAACCACATGGAGTCTACAGGTTTCACTATGTCCCTCCTGAGATGGTTTCATTTTCTCCTTAATGGAGAACCTATGAAGCAACACGCAGAACTCATTTCATTGCACCTGGGCGATGCTGTCTATTGTTAAGGATTGTGATGATGATGACTTATTGCTATAATTGTATTTTTCCTTTTGATATTTGATGGGAATGCAGAACATACACAACACACGAACAGGCACACATTGACACAACATACACACCATATACATACACACAAAATCTATCTATCTATCTATCTATCTATCTTTCTATCTATCTATCAGTCTATCTATCTATCTATCTATCTATCTATCTATCTATCTATCTATCTATCTATCTTTCTATCTATCTATCTATCTATCTATCTATCTATCTATCAGTCTATCTATCTATCTATCTATCTATCTATCTATCTATCTATCTATCTATCTATCTATCTATCTATCTATCTGTGTGATTTCGCAGTCCCTATAGAAATAGCGCAACAAAATAGCGCAGACACTGTGATATTTCGTCCAGTTATTCGCTTCCCATAAAATTACAAAGAATGAGTTTAAAATAAGATTTTCGTTAATTTACACCAAACCGAGTGGGATTAAAATTAAATTCCTCTAATCACAATAGCAAAAAAAGAAACTCGAGTAAACCCCACAAACAAACAAAACAATGAGTCGGTGCATTTCGGTAAACAATGGAAATAAATTCACCGAGAGTGTATTTAATAAAATAGATTTATTGACCTCAATGTGTCTGTTTTAAAAATAATATATCCGCCATTTCAACAGTAACAGCTCGTTAATTATTTTAAATATCTGATGCCATCATTGATGTCCTGTCCTGATGACTAGGTGACACAGATCTTTTATTTCACCCAAAACTCGAATTGAAAATGTAAGTGCAGCTGCCTCTGCCTATTAAATATGATAATTACAGGTCTATTTTTAATTGTGAAAAATACATCGAGTCCTGTAAGGGTTAAACCATGAAATGTGACATTCGCTGTTCACGGTAACTAATAATAAATTGTAAAATAAATACTTAATTTTTTTTGTCACCTGCACAAAAATGTATTCAGCCCAAATCCTGAGACGTGTTGTAGTGCCTACTTTTGGCCAGCAGGTGGTGCTGTTCTACCACAGCCAACCGTGCTCAGTAGAATTCTACTGAGCCAGCCATTCCACCCCCTCTCTCTGTGTATAGCCCCTTGGCCCCAACACCAGAGCCTTGAGCTTCAAAGATCTAACCGTCTTCCAACCACCCGCTGAGCCGAGATCTAGGCAATTATTTGCTGGAAGACCACGAATGCTCCAAAGCTGAGGGAGCAGCATTATGCACAAGATAATTGCAGTTGTTTTTGCAATTCGTTTTGCAACACATTTCTTTAAGTGGAGTATAGGCGGTTGAAGTCCATCAGTGCAGACCCAACCCGAGATCTTCAGCGAAATTGATGTGCCTCTCTCAAATCCTGACTTGAAGTCTGCTAATTAAGCCTGTACAGGAGGGTCAATTTTATATCTACATGAAAAATACAAGTATATAAATATATATACAATTTTATTTATTCCATGTTTGTTTTGTTCTGTCATCCCTTTAGCTATTTCTGTCGAGAGATGTCACAATGTATCTCAAACGATGCTTGCACTAAGACATGTCACAATGTATCTCAAACTCTCATTTCCAGCAATCAGTAAGCTTGATACATATTAACAGAACTGTAATTTCGAATTCAATAGGATTCATTTAAAATAAAAAAAATAGCAATTTTTCAACACAAGTCTGTTGGATTTCGTTTTTATTCGTTTAAAAGCGTCAGTGTCCAACTATTTCCAAATATAAATCGATTTATAAACTTATATTCTCAATTATAAAAACATCTTTACCTGCCCTAAATGTAATTATATGCTACATTTTCAGAGGATTGTTTAGGCTTAATACGAAATACAGCCAACCTTTATAAAATGATTGTAAAGAATTTAATTAAAGGAGGAATTTTCACAAAATCTTTGCTAGCTCTTTCACTAATCACCTCGAACAGTGAACAAATGACCAATGCATGCTATAGCATATATCATTATTAAAGTTTTAAAAAAAGTTTAGATTAAAAATAATTACAAACCTAATTGAATTTAGATTATATATATTTTTCTAATCCATTTATAAAATAAAATACAACGACGGTTTGTATGTTCCTGTGTGTGTTTTAAGATCTTTTAGAAAAAAAATTGGATATTTTATTAATGATATTTTATTTATTAATTCATGTGTAATAGTGTTAGAAAAAAAAATGTAATTTATTTAAAATTGAAGAGACAAAACAAAACCTCAGCAATGTATTTCTAAAGGTTGTAAATCGATGACACCTGTCTATAAATGTCTGTAAAGGGCAAAAAAAAGATAAACCACTACTAAAATAAAAATACAGCCAATCTGTAATTAATGAAAACCCATTTATTTATTTTTATAAATAAATGTTCCATTTGCCCAGACAGTACAGGCTGTGTTAGTGGATGGCACAAGGTGTGTTTTAGATTCCCTCGAGCTAATGAAGAGAGCACTAAGTGATTCGTTGATCACTGCAATTTAAAATGGGTTTGTTCTAGTGATGCGCCTGGTACACTGGCAATATTAAAGGGTTAATTAGTGGTGGGTGGCAGTGCCAGTTAATGCTATATGTGAATGTATGACCAGAGTGATTTTTTTTTTTTTGCTTCCTGTGAAAGAGGCAGACATGTCTTGTAGGGTGTTTAAACTGGTTTAAAAGTCAGGTGTTTGGATGGGATGAAACTCTTATTCAAATGCCAGTCACTTGGTGCTGTGATTCGCAGGGACTGAGTTGCCTGGCTGTCTGGCAATGGATAGGAGGAGTAGGAAGGAGGGAGGGCAGGGGGATAGAGGAGAGAGGGGGAGACAAGGGGGAGCGGGTTCAGGCACCGCAAGCACTAGAGGCAGAATGGGACATAGCTGTGGCCCAAGCAAATAGGGCACAGGCCCAAAGAGAGCACAAATGGCGAGGATACCTGCTCTCTGGGCAGCCACAGCATCCAATCCACGACCGACCCCCGCGGTAAGCATCACCAGCTCTGGGTATTGAGGGAACTGGGCAGCACTGTACCAGGGGAGACTGGGGGATCAACACCTGACTTCCATGGTACCGGCAACTGTAGGGGACTTACACCTGTGTCCAGTAGCACACACACACACACACACACACAAATACATCTCTCTCCCTCTCTCTCTCTCTTTATATGTGTGTATATATATATATATATATACATCAGCCATAGATTTATACAATACACATACATAAATATATCTCTCTCTATATATACACAGACATAGCAAAATACATACATACACACAAATATATATATATATATATATATATATATATATATATATATATACAGACATAGATTTATACATACACCCATCCATACATTTATACATATATACAAATATATTATATCCCTATATTTAGATAGATGTACACACACACACACACACACACACACACACACACATACACACATATATATATATATACAGCTATAGATTTATATATATATAGACAAATATTAACTCATACACTCAGTACATTTTTCAAATACATTTTATAGCTGTGTGTGTGTGTATATATATATATACACACACACACAGCTCGGATATATATATATATA